AAAAAAGGTAGACAGGTGAAAAAAAGAGTAAACGGATACGCGGTTATGATTAAATGGGTATACGATTATAGGTAAATGGGTATGGTTAACTGTTTATAAACGGTTATGGGTATGGGTATACCCGTTTATGTAAATACCCAACGGGTAAATGGTTATACAGGTAAAAACTTTAACGGTTATGGGTAAATAACCGCGGTTACCCGTCCGCCATAACCGTTGCCCATCCTTAATCTTGGCCAAGGGTGAAAGTACTACTATCCCACATTGATTTTCAAGCACACTGGATGTGGCTCGACGTTCCATCACCATGACCCTGACCACGGCCACGACCACGACGACAACAACCGCAGATCATACCGATATCATTGCCAACGCTAGGCTTTTTGTTCGACTTTTGGCAAAAACGCCATGCCTAAGAGGACAAAGATAGCCTTCGTCAAGATTTCGGGATATGAGGTTTCCCACTGATGACAGTATCCTTACACAGATCAAGGACGGGTTTAAGGATGGAAGGGATTTTGTGGTGACTGTCATGTCTACCATGGGAGAGGAGCAGATGTGTGCCCTCAAGGTCATTGGTCCGAAGAATTAAGTACGATGTTGTAGCGGTTGCCATAGACTAGTTGATGGCAAGGTGTTCTTCGTTTTAACTTTCTATTTGGTGGAACTGTTGCTAACAGGGAGGTTTATGAAGCCTATATATGTGCAATGAACTTTCATTTTAAAAGAAAAATAATAAAAATGGCTTGAAAATTTTGAGTTTTAATAATAAGGACAAAATAAAGAGTAAAGTGAATAGTATCATGATTGACTTTTTAGTGTAAAAATGTGGATTTTCGTTAAAATAAACAGTATTTGGAGTTTTTTGTTAAAGTTTTTTTTTTTTTTTTTTTAAAATGGTGTTTTATCTTGCCAAGCTTGTGAAAGTGACGATGCAAAGAAGATTTAAAGCTTCCGGATCCCTTGGCAAAAGGAGCTTGATGCATATCTATGAAACTATTTCTCTAGTTTTTTTTCCGACAAAAGAAAAAAAAAACTTTTTGGAGTAGAGCAACTAACTACAGAAACCAAATTCGATGCAATTAAAAATACAACACTAAAAATGAAACTCAATGAAAACTACATGTTGTAGCTCAATTTTTAATAGTTTGGGACTACTAAGTAGTTCAGAAAAGTATAGTGAAATTGGACGATGAAGATTGTTTAAAAAATCGAACTAGTTAGTTTATGTTGAATTATCAAAGTTAAACTCGTTGTAGCCACTAAAGGTGTGTTTGTTTGGTTTCACTAGCCTTCACTAGACTAGACTAAACTAAAAGTTAGTGTAGTGTTGTGTTTGTTAATCACAAGGACTAACTTTAGTGAGACCCCGACTATCGACCTCATTAGAGGGTCTTAGATAGTCCCCCCAAAATGAAGTGGACTGCTAAGACCGCTCATTGCTTCGTCTACTTTGTCTACTCGCGTCGCGTTCTCTTCCTACTGGACGACCTAGCCGTCAAATCCTCCCACTCTCTCCCCGCATGGATCTTCCCTTGCTAAATCTCTATGCACCACCAGCTCAACCCGCCACCTGAATCCCAAAATCTATTTACCACCATCGATGGGTTTGGCTCGATCCGGTGGATCAATTAGAAAAGAGAAAGTTTACTTGATATTATGATCGGCTGAGAGCTGGGGTTGACGACCGAAGGCTAGGTTTGAAAACTGAGGTTCAAAGGCTAGGTTCGAAGATAGAGGTTTGAAGGCAAAAACATATTGCAAAGATCTGCTGGAGAAATTGGATCAATTTGGGTTTTTCCAAGCACTACTACTCTCTCTTTTGATCTTTGGGATCCAAGCAGTGAACTTGTCATCTGGGATTTTAACAATTTGTCTAGTTTAAAAGATTTGCTGGAAAATTGGATTGTTTGGGTCTATTTTTAATTGGGTTCAACTGGGTTTTCTGGATTTGAATAATTGGTGATATAGATTGGTTCTTTTGTTTTGGTCATTTTTTGTTTTACATTTATTCTTCGAATTTATGTTGTTCTTACATGGAAGATAAAGATTTGGAAATGTTGACTGTGTTGTTCTTCAATGGATATTTTACAAGCTGTTTGGTTGTCGAGAAAACTGATGAAGAATCGTAATTTTATTTGTCATAGATTGTGGGTTATGGTTGCATGTTTGATTCCAACTGTGGTTGCAATGTCTGAAAATTAGTTGAGTTTCTTTCACATAGTTGAGAGCTCAAAAGCCCCCATTTCTTTCGAACATTGACAGCTATTTCATTATCCTCTTTTTAATCCGACATTGTACCAAACACTTCACTAAGTTAGTCTAGTTTAGTTTAGTTTAAACCAATCCAGCATAGTCCTTACACCTAATCCAGTCCGAGACAATCCGGTGCAATAAACGCACCCTAACAGTTACATCCGTTTAGCTTCATTTTGTAAGGTCAATTAATACTTAATACCATCGTTTAGCGTTGAGTCGAAGAAAATAGGATTCATAAAAAGCTAGGCTAGCTAATGGGATAAGAACAACCACTTAGTACTATATTCTAATGATATTTTTCTTCGTTAATAAATGAGAGTCTTTAGATTTGATTCTTGACAGAGATGAATTTAAATCACTAGCTCATTATGAGGTGAAGCTCACCTTATCTCCCTGAATGACTATAATACTTATGGTTTATTTGAAAAAAAAAAGGGATAAGAGCATGTACGCACATGTTAATAATAAAGATTACAAAAAATGTTTGCGTTTGATTAATTAAAATTAGAATAATGTTAGGCAAATTAAATTTATAAATTATGTGATTTATTATCAATAAAAAATAACTATGTTAATCAATAATTAAATAACAATCAAACCGTTAAAATCCATGTCATATAATTTATAAATATAATCAAAATTAGTTGATCTCTCTTGTATATATGATCTCTCAGGCATACATGATCGACATATATAAATATCAAGGAAAACTAATGAAAATGACTTGAAAACCTTGAGTTTTAACGATAAGAACAAAATAAAGGGTAAAGTGAATAGTATCATGTTTGACTTTTTAGTATAAAATTATGATTTTTCGTTAAAATAAATAGTATCATGTTTGACTTTTTAGTATAAAAATATAATTTTTCGTTAAAATAAATAGTACTGCAGATTTTTCGTTAAAACTCTCAAAATTTCTTTAAAATTATAAGGAACAGAAAGAACTTGGACAATACTCTATGATGGCAAAAGGTCCTACAAACTATAAACTACAGAAATAAACAAATAATTAATGAACAGACAAAAGGTCGTTGAAGAAGAAAGTGGACATGGAAAATGAGTACAAAAGAAACAATTGGGGTCATAGACTCATATTCTAGAAGAAAAGTAAAGCGTTTTCCAAAAAAAAAAAAAAAAAAAAAAAGAAGAAAAGTAAAGCGGTTTTGCAAAATCAACAACGAAACCGCAGGAAATGAAAGCCGCAGGAACCAATTGTTTTATTTTGAAATTTAAAAAGAGATTAAATTAAATTAATAGTCAAGTCAATTAGCAACAGCATTACACAGCGGTCACCACCAACACCCAGGAAGGAGGCAAAAGACATGTATAAAAGGCTGTTCTACCATCCTTCTCCTCCATCCCATTCTTATTCATCCTCTCTTCATTTCTATCATCTCTGTGTTCTGTATATTGAATACTTCGTTCATCACCACTTCGATTTATTCGTTGATTCGTTACTCTTTTGGTCAAGAACATTTGTTGGCAGTAATTCTTCGTCGGATTTTAAGGTAATGATAGCTAGTATTTACCATTAGAAAAAGTTTATACACGTTGTTTGATTGATTTTATATATATCCAAGAGTTTCAAGTGCATATGAGTAAATTGCTTGTAACCACAGCGTTTGATTCCTGTGTTTCAATTGAATGTTTCCAGCTTAATTTCCATGCATTTAATACTCTTTTTTTTTTCTTTTCTACATTTACAATGCCTGCACCTGCAGTAAAAATTACTACTATTTTTGTTTACTTTTGGTAAGAAATTGAGATGGACAACGGTTATGGCAGACGAGTAACCGCGGTTATTTATCCATACTCGCTTATGTTCATAACCTGCGTTTACCCGTTAGGTAGTTGTATAAACGGTTATACTCATACATATAACCATTTATAAACGATTTATAAACGGTTAACCATACTTATAACCGTGTACCCATTTAACTATAACCGTTTACCCATTTAACCATAACCATTTACCGGTTTACTCGTTTTTGAACCCCTTTATCCATTTTTTCATCCATCTACATGTTTTTTTTTAACAATTTGAAAATTACAAAAGAAAAATTTGTCATAATTTTTATTTTCTGATAATTAAACACATATATTAAATTTTAATTGCTTCAAATGGATGAGAAGATGTCTTTCTATTGCTTCAAATTGACTTCTCGAATTCAATTCAAGGGCTGAACTTCTTTGCCATGGTGTGCAAGTCCAACACCTAGCAGTGCGATATTTGTTTGAAATATCATCACCATAGCGTTTTTTATTCGTACCTAACTTTTGCTTCCTACCGACACTTAAAAATCAACAGAAGGACAGATCTGTCAAATAAAATTTGTGGATTTTGAGTACAGCAGCAGCACAGAAGGACAGATCTGTCAAATAAAATCTGCTTAATGCCAGCAGCACCTATACAAAATTCATTAAACAAGAAACTTAGTTTACATATATTAAATTAAATAGGTAAATAGATATCTGTTATAAGTATAAATAGTAATTTTTAAATACATTGGTAACTACGGTTATCCAAACTTATGAGTATTTTGTCTATTCCTGAGACAAAATGGTCAAAAGTGAAATGGAATCTTGCCCAAGTCTTTTTCTTACCATTTTATTTCGCTCTCCCACTATCTTTGTTCATCAAACCATTTCACTTCACTGTTCTCAACTTTTTTCCTTCCTCCCTAGGTACTCCTTGTTTCCCACTTTTTACTTTTTCTATTTTTCTTGTTCTTGGGATGATCTTTTTTTTCTTTTCCGGATTTTTGTTACGCGACCATGTGATCAATAGCTTCTGCGTTTTGGGTTCATACTTTATTTGATGGGTTTTTGCTCTGTTTTTGTGTAGATGTCTGTTTTTATTTTTGTTGAATATAAAAAAACCTGTTCATCTTCACCCGTTTGATTTGTTGGTTTAGTCTTATTTAAGGTTTGAATTGTTGACTTTTTCTGCATAACTTTTTTTACTTTTCTTGCAGCTGTTAAGGGTGTCTGATTTTCCAAGCTGCTGCTGTAATGGCGGAACGTGCGCTGACCCGCGTCCAGAGCTTACGAGAGAGGCTGGACGAAACCCTCTTTACTCACCGCAATGAGATTCTGGCCCTTCTTTCAAGGTACTATGTTAATGATCACAAATGGGTTTCTGTCAAATGTTCCAAAACATGCAAAAAAATTGTTGTCTTTTGCAAAAAGGTTGTTTTTTGGTTTGATCACTAAAAGGGTTTTGGGGTTTTAGGATTGAGAGCAAGGGGAAAGGGTTTCTGCAACCCCATCAGCTTCATGCCGAGTTCGAAGCGATTCCTGAAAATAACAGGCAGAAGCTGTTGGACGGGGCTTTTGGTGAAGTTTTGAAGCACACCCAGGTAAACATTTTCGATCATACTTATAGTTTGTAGTCATTTGTTTTTATGTTTTTTTCAGGAGTTTTTGAATTGTTTGTGTGGATGTTTTTGTCTAATGTAGGAGGCTGTTGTGCTGCCCCCATGGGTGGCTTTTGCTGTGCGCCCAAGGCCTGGTGTTTGGGAGTACATTCGTGTGAATGTCCATGCTCTCGTTCTCGAGGAGTTGCGTGTGGCTGAGTACTTGCAATTCAAGGAGGAACTTGTTGATGGGAGGTAGTTTTTTGTCTTTTTATAGTTTGAGTTTTAAAGTTTCGATTCGGTTCTTAATTTTTTGTTAATTTTCATAGATTTTGAGTAGTTTAGAATATCGCATTTATTACTTTCTTTGCGTTGTTAATAATTTTTGCTGGTTTCAACTGCAGTTCCAATGGCAACTTCGTGCTTGAGTTGGACTTTCAGCCGTTCCATGCATCTTTCCCCCGCCCAACTCTTTCCAAGTCCATTGGAAAAGGCGTTGAGTTCCTCAATCGTCACCTTTCTGCTAAGCTCTTCCATGACAAGGAGAGCCTGCACCCTTTGCTCGAGTTTCTCCGAGTTCACTGCTATGAGGGCAGGGTATGATTTTCTTACATTTGCAACTTTACCATCTTTGTTTGAATTCAAATGAAATTAATACTCTTTTGCTGATCTCGGGATTTAATTTGATTGGCTTCTTCGTGCAGAATATGATGCTGAATAACAGAATTAAGAATGTGAATGAGCTGGAACGTGTTCTGAGGAAGGCAGAGGATTTCCTCTCTTCAGTTGTCCCCGGAACTCCATACAAGGAGTTCGAGCCCAAGATGCAAGTCATCGGTTTGGAGAGGGGTTGGGGTGACACTGCTGAGCGTGTGCTTGAGATGATCCAACTTCTGTTGGACCTTATTGAGGCACCCGATCCTTTTACTCTTGAGAAATTTCTTGGCCAGATCCCCATGGTCTTCAATGTTGTGATCCTTTCGCCCCACGGATATTTTGCCCAAGACCATGTCTTGGGGTTCCCTGACACTGGTGGCCAGGTTGTCTATATCTTGGATCAAGTTCGTGCTTTGGAGTCTGAGATGCTTAAGCGCATTAAGCAGCAAGGACTCGATATCACTCCCCGCATTATCATTGTGAGTTTTATCTGAAATTTTGTGGCTGCAGAATTTATGTTATTTGGTGATTTCATTCTATTCTGATGCTTTGATTATGTTTCAAACACAGCTCACAAGGCTTCTTCCTGATGCTGTTGGAACCACATGTGGTGATCGTCTTGAGAAAGTTTACGGGTGTGAGCATTCAGATATTCTTCGTGTTCCTTTCAGAGATGAGAAGGGTGCCATTGTCCGCAGATGGATTTCAAGATTCGAAGTCTGGCCCTACCTACAGACATATGCTGAGGTCAACTTCTTTGTTAATACTATCGGTTTCCATATGTTCCAATTTTTGCTTGTATTTGGTTCTCAGACTTGCTGATTTTCGTGTTATTAGGATGCGATCAAGGAACTTTCCAAGGAAATGCAGGGCAAGCCTGATCTCATCATTGGAAACTACAGTGATGGCAATATTGTGGCCTCACTGATGGCACACAAATTGGGTGTTACACAGGTTTGTGATTTCCATTTAGTTATAATTAGTTATGCCCTTTCGATGCCTTTTACATCTTAGTAGCTAAGTTTATTGTTTGGTTTTCACTGTCTTTCAGTGCACCATTGCCCATGCTCTCGAGAAGTCAAAATACCCTGATTCTGACCTTTACTGGAAGAAATTGGATGAGAATTATCACTTCTCATGCCAATTTACAGCTGATCTTATCGCCATGAACCACACTGATTTCATCATCACCAGTACCTTCCAAGAGATTGCTGGAAGGTAATATATGCATTCGGCCTAGACTTTTCGTATCAACCGTCTTGTCTTTTGGGATCCTAATTTTGTGTTCTATGAATGTTTGCAGCAAAGACACTGTTGGTCAGTATGAGAGCCACACTGCCTTCACCCTTCCTGGGCTCTACCGTGTCGTTCATGGTATTGATGTCTTCGATCCCAAGTTCAACATTGTTTCACCAGGAGCTGACAAGGATGTCTACTTCCCTTACTCTGAGAAAGAAAAGAGGTTGACCCACTTCCACCCTGAAATTGAAGAGCTCCTTTACGGCCAAGTCGAAAATATCGAACAATTGTAAGTTGCTTTTTTCCCATTTATGTTTTGCTCAATGCATCGTGTGATCGAATATGTGCTAACACGTTTATGTTGTTTTCCGATCAGATGTGTGTTGAAGGACAGGAACAAGCCAATCATCTTCACAATGGCAAGGCTGGACCGGGTGAAGAACATCACTGGGCTTGTCGAGTGGTATGGTAAGAATGCCAAGCTTAGAGAGTTGGTTAACCTTCTTGTGGTTGCTGGTGATCGCCGCAACGAGTCCAAGGACAATGAGGAGAAGGCTGAGTTAAAGAAGATGTACGAGCTGATTGACACCTACAAGCTGAACGGGCAGTTAAGATGGATCTCATCCCAGATGAACCGTGTGAGGAATGGTGAACTCTACCGCTACATTTGTGACACCAGGGGAGCCTTTGTGCAGCCTGCTGTGTATGAAGCTTTCGGCTTGACAGTCATTGAGGCCATGACTTGTGGACTGCCCACATTTGCCACTTGCAAGGGTGGCCCGGCTGAGATTATTGTGAATGGAATATCGGGCTACCACATTGATCCATACCACGGCGATCAGGCTGCTGAGATCCTTGTTGATTTCTTTGAGAAGAGCAAGGCTGATCCTAGCCACTGGGACAAGATTTCTCAAGGCGGCTTGCAGCGCATTTACGAAAAGTAAGCAAGAACAAATCCATTTTTTGCAGTAAATTGTTTTGCCTGGCTTGCAAGTTATCTTACATTTCTGCTCTGTTTTCGTTTAGGTACACATGGCAAATCTACTCTGAGAGGCTCTTGACACTCACTGGAGTCTATGGCTTCTGGAAAGATGTTTCGAACCTTGATCGCCTGGAGTGCCGCCGCTATCTGGAGATGTTTTACGCCCTCAAGTTCCGCAAGCTGGCGGCGTCTGTTCCTCTAGCTGTGGAGTGAAGAGAAAGTTTTCCTTATAGAGTAAATAAAGAGGCGGAAGCATTGGTTGTTTACTGTGGAGTTTTTTCCTCCTCAGGATGAGGATTTTGTATATATTTTGATTTACCAAAGGAATTTTAATGTTTCTTTTATTTTGTTATTTGTAATTTTCGATTCCCAATGGAAATGAAGTCATTTTAATGTTTTTTTTTCTTTCCCTACTTACCATTATTGGTTCAAGTAGAATATTTTTTAACAAGATGTTTGTTCTTTTTTAAAAGGTACATGTGATGAAGAGGTGTCATGGTTCGAGAAACCACATTATGCAATCTCTAATTTATTATTTGCATGATTTTCTCCTTTACATGATAAATATCATACATTTTTTTCAAAAATGATAAAACATACAAAATTACCCAAAATGTCTACTAAGTTGGACATGAAAACAAAGTTTCCAACAAAAAAAATAAGAGCACCGACGGCGCCCTTGTTATAGGTTTTGCTAAAATAGATTTTGACTAGTTTTTATAAATTCTTTAATGGTTAAGGTTTGACTTCATATTCATCTTGACATATTGTATTTTTTTTGTTTATCAATAAATTCTCCTCAATGTCTTGTTTCATAATAATAATACTGGAATGAGATGAACTTTACGGCCAAATTTTATTAAAAAAAACAGAAAAGGAAATAGGGGATATAAAAAGAATAAGCAAACCCCTCTCACTCCATTAACATAAACTCATTCCCTTCACAACCCAATATCCTCGATCGATCGTCTCTCTCTGCGATCTACTGCTAGTTGTTCTAATTCTTCTATATCGAATGTTTTCGTTCGAACCAAAACTCGAAACTCAATGGCATTCTCTTTCACCGAGTTGGTGGAAGATGAAACCAACATGGAGTAGCTTGTAGAATCTTGGCCGCGGGTGAAAGTACTGTTATCCGACGTTGGATTTTCAAGCACACTGGACGTGGCTCGACGGTCCATCACCATGACCCCGACCACGGCGACAACAACCGCAGATCATACCGCTAGCATTGCCAACACTAGGTTTTTTGTTCGACTTTTGGCAAAAACGCCATGCCTAAGAGGAGAAAATTGCCTTCATCAAGAGATTTCGGGATATGCAGTCGACAAGGACAAGTTTGAGAAACGGCGCGAGCAACTCATTGCCTCCGCCTCCTAAAACGCCATCTACAAATTGACCTTGTGTGTACTGTGATTGCCGTTGGCGAGTTTATGAGAAGGGGTTTACCAGTTGTCGAGCTCATCGTGGATGAGTCCATCATACAGGGATTTAACCCCGCATTCGTTATAGACAGTACTGCTAATATTAAGGACCTTCCACAAGGGGCTGTACCGTGGATTAACTATTTAACTTTGATCCTCTCTTTTCCAAACTACAAAACGGCGAATTGGTTGAGTACCAAGACAAATTCGAGACCCCGTTGGAGGAAGAGTTAATATTAGATGTTGTTGAGCCGAATCATGAACATCACGAGGAGGAGGAGGAGGAGCTGTTGAAGACCAACACCCGCCTGGTTGGTGTTTAGATTCTAGAAGATTCTAGCAGCAAGTCTAGAAGGCAGGAGCTTCTAGAAGAGGAGGAGGAGGAGGAGGAGGAGGAGGAGCTGTTGAAGACCAACACCCGCCCAGTTGGTGTTTGGATTCTAGAAGATTCAAGCAGCAAGTCTAGAAGGCAGGAGCTTCTAGAAGAGGAGGAGGAGGAGCTGTTGAAGACCGACACCCGCCCAGTTGGGGTTTGGATTCTAGAAGATTCTAGCAGCAAGTCTAGAAGGCAGGAGCTTCTAGAAGACTTGCACTTTGACAGGGTGCAAATGAACTAGAATTTTCTAAGGTGCATGCACTTTAAATATCCAAGCTATTGTAGCCTTTGTAGAAATCACTTGAAGGTTAGTCAAACGTGAAACCCATGTCGGTGGGCTGATTGTAGAAGGAACTAGAAATGTGTAGAATGCCAAGCCCAAGTTTGCTGGGCAGTGAGTCGGTTAAGCTCACCTATAAATGGGTGTTTGTTGTTGTAAGAAGAAAGAAGGGAGGAACCAAACTAAGAAAGTAAGAGAGTAGCCGCCAAGAAGAGTAGCAAGAAAATAACTTCGAAGTGAGAGTTCTAGAAAATGAGAGTGTCATAGCTTTTAAATTGTATCTTGAGAGTTTGTGTTTTGTAATATTTGTAAGTTAATACTAGTAATTTGTTTACTTGTTTTCTTTTTCCAACACTTGTGTTAGAGTTGTGTACTCTAATTTTTTTCTCAACAATTGGTATCGGAGCACTACAATCAGGGATCGACTCTAGTGAAGTTTTTGAGAATTGTGAGAAGTTTAGTACTTCACAAGATTGTTGGCTAATTTTGTTCGGCGTATCGTAGTTCTGTCGACATGATGTCCAATCTTCAAGTTGTTGGAGCAATCAAGAAGTTGAACAACAAAAATTACAACACGTGGTCGACATGCATGGAGTGTTACCTACAAGGCCAAGATCTTTGGGAGGTCGTCGGCGGTGATGAAGTTACACAGCCAGAAGAAGACACTAGTGTTACTCTACGAAAGTGGAAGATCAAGGCAGGTAAGGCCATGTTTGTCTTGAAAACCACAATTGAAGATGACATGTTGGAGCACATAAGGAAAACCAAAACACCAAAAGAAGCATGAGACACCTTTGCCACACTATTTTCAAAGAAAAACAACACAAGATTGCAACTTCTTGAGAACGAGCTATTATCGGTGACCCAAAGGAACATGACGATTGCCCAGTACTTCCACAAGGTAAAGTCTATTTGTCGTGAAATTTCTGAATTAGATCCTAGTGTTGCAATTGTAGAATCCAGAATACAAAGAATAATTATCCATGGGTTGAGACCCGAATACCAAGGCTTTGTTGCCTCTATACAAGAATGGCCGACCCAACCATCACTTGTTGAGTTTGAAAAATTGCTTGCCGATCAAGAAGCTTTGGCAAAGCAAATGAGAGGGGTCTTGTCAAGAGGTGAAGCGCTCTACACCAACAAAAGTAAAGGCAGCTTCAAGCAGCATGTCAGTAGAGGATCTAAGAGAAATGGTGACAAGGCAAAAGGTCATCAAGAAGGAGGAAGTTTTCATCAAGGGGGAGCTCCAACGTATCACAGCAAATGTGGTCAGTCCCAAAACAATAAAATGTTTGAGGGCAAATGCTACAATTGTGGAAAAAAGGGTCACATGGTGAATGATTGCTGGTTCAAAAGGCATGCAGAGAGTAATGTTGCGACTTCTAGCTTAGAGAAGAAAAGTGAAGATGATTGGGACGCCGTAACATATATGGCCATATAAGAAGAATGGGATGTTGAAAATCTTCTTACAAGTGCTCAGAAAATGAGGTGTTGCCTAACTTGAGAGAGATTGAAGATACGTTGCAGGAGAAAATGGGAGAGCAAATTGCTCAAATTCCATCGAGTCCAGATGAGTCTGGGGATTTGCTTGATGGTGACGATGTCGAGCAAGAAGTGCCTCATAATCTTTGGCAAATTTGTGTGTACCAACAATCAGAAGAAGATAGACCTAGTGAAGTAGAAGTATCCACTTCATTAGAAGTGAGAGTGGTCTTGTGAGGAGTGTGAGTGATCTAGAGTTTTGTCTTTAGGAAGTGAGAGAATGTCATAGCTTCTAAATTGTGTCATTGAGAGTTTGTGTGTTGTAATATTTTGTAAGTTAATGCAAGTAATTTGTTTACTTGTTTTGTCTCTCCAATTACACTTGTGTTAGAGTTCTTTACTAATTTTTCTCAACAGGAGCCTGCATATGCGTGTGCCAACAAGTCACCAAAAAGAAAATTAAAACAAGAAGATGATGCAGCATTGGTTGAGAAAAGTTTGAAGAAAATTCAATCTCGTTGATCATCAACTTTATTTTGTATTGTTAATTCACTTTCGTTTTTAGTTGAAGTTTCTTTGTACATTTTAAGATTTGATCACTTTGTATATTTTACTTTCACATTGCTGGGTTCAATCTGGTTTGTCTGTTCTTTGTTTATTTAACATTGCGTCTCTCTTCTTTGCTTGACGAGTAAGTAATTTCCCTAGTGACATCTAGAAGAAATGCATGGTTGAATATGTAGGGGTGGTAACTTTGACTTGACACGATTAGTAAACTAATGCGTTTGAATTTAACCGTCAACTCGTTTAAAATTGCCACACCTAGTCGTAAGCACAACTCAAAACATGACTTGAAAAGAGAATTCTATAAAATAGCCAAATTCGAAGATCGAAAGAGATAGGGGATCAATAAGTAAATTCGGAATACCAAAAGTTCATTATAAATTTAGGTGAGTCAGACTAGTTGGTCATCGTTTTCGCATTAGTACTTATTGAATCTCTCACTTCGTAAATTTGAATAGTTTAAAATAGTTTGAAAATCATCTTTCCTAGGCTACTAACGAACACAGTTTATGTCCATAGTAATCGTAAATTGTAAATCATGTACAAAGAAAAACTAAGATATCATATCATCATGACACACATCTGCTCCTATTCACTTAAAATTGTTCAAACGGGATAAGTTTATTGGGTTTTGTACATATAGGCTTAGCCTTATAATGAGTTAGTAATAATGTGCTTTAATTTCGTCTTTGTCAAAAATTGAACTTAAGACCTGTCATTCACAAGTGAAGAGAAATATCACTGCACCATAGTACTAATTGACAAAAACTCATCTAGTGTTCATGAGTAAAGTAATATTACTAAATTAACCATGACACCGTGACAAGCGGTACAGTGATATTACAGTAGAATTCTAAGCCAAATATGCTTTTGGATCTTGGATGATCTTGGATTCAAGGCACGAAGTCGTACCCTTTGGGGTGGGTGTCCAATACGTCAGACTTCGGAAAATTTTTTTTTTTATTAATTTTGGTTTTTTATATTAACATTCCACAAAATGTTGAATGCATCCCATATTAAAATTTAATATTAAATAATTTATTTACCCTACTATACAATGATAATTTTGAGCTTATTAGGCTTAAAATAAATAAAAAATTCTAAATACACCCAAAATCACTTTTAACGTATTATTTATCTTCTTCAACTATCAAAATCCCTCCGACACTCCATGGTTGAACAAAACCCTAACCAATAAAACTACGAACATGTTGATTGAGAAAAATTAATTTTGACGAATAAAACACGAAATTGATGTTTCGGAAGCTTCACATGAGATAAAAACTAACGAAAAGTCTAAAAAAACTTCCCTTTTAACGAAAAACCCTTTTTAAAGGTATAGTGAATAGTGACAGGTAAAGGTAAAAATGTGGTTTTTCGTTAAAAGTGAACAGTACCGGGAGTGTTTTATTAAAACTCCCTTATTGATTGTTTTGGTGATTTTGACGACATCGATAATTATTTAATCTTGCTTTTGCTGCGTTATTCAAGCTTCTATGTTCGTATTCATCTTTTAGGAATCACAGGAATTACATGAAGAATTAAACATTTAAAATTACCACCAAATATTAAAAACAAACATCAAGTGTTTTCATGGTGGAATTGAAAACAACTCACATATGCTTTGCTTTAAATCTCATGCGACATCTTTTGTCAAAATTCCAGTCGGCATTTTTTGTCCAAATTAAAAATATGGAATGCATGTAGAAAATATAATGTGTATATTGAGAATGTGAGGGTATTATAGAGAAGTAAGTGGAGTGTATTAAGATAATTTTTCATTAAAAAAGCAAATATGACGTGTATTAAGTATGTTGAGTTTACTCAATAATTTTTAGGGTATTAATATAATAAGCCTTAATTTTTCTATTAAATGGGCCAACTACACAAATATTATCAGACAAATTGTCGTTGTTACTATTACACCGGCACTATTAGTTACTTTGAATCTTTGATGTAGAAGTTAAACTCCACACAGAAATGAACTCCAAATCCAAAACGTATCGATCAAGAAACCGCATCAAGAAGATGAACAAGCTCATCATCTTCTTTCCCTCCTTAACCTCTCTGCTTCTAATTTCTTCCTTTTCCGCCATTCTACATCCATCTCTCTGTTCCTCCGCCCACGCCTCCGCCCCATTCCACAACCACTTCACCGCATTCCACCACTTCCTCGAGACCAACATCAACCGAACCGCAGCGTCAATTGGAACAACCCAGCAGAGCATCAGAGCCCTTTTGAGGCTCCAAGAATTGTATGTCCAAGAAAGGAATGCGCTGAGAGATTGCTTGGAGATGTTAGACCAAACCCTTTACGAACTAGGCCAGGCAATCGACAACTTGCACGGTTTGCGTGTGTCTTACGGCAACCTCAAGACCCTTCTGAGCGCTGCAATGACGAATCAGAACACTTGCATTGATGGGTTCTTTGAGTTGGAGGAGTTGGACTCCCAAAACCAAAAGGGTCTCAAAGGTCATTTGCAAGGGCTGCTGAGTCCGATTTCCGAGTCGATGAGTAATTGCTTGGCAAGGATCAGAAACCAAGAACAGATTCTGAATTCGCAGAAGAGGGTTAGTAGCAGTCCTACCAAGAAATCATCGAAGAAGAGGTTTCCGAAATGGATGCTGCCGGGTGATCGAAATCTGATGCAGAGATTAGTGCCAAGAATAAGGGCTGACATTGTTGTTGCTGCCGATGGGAGTGGAGATTATGAAACCATTGGTGAAGCTCTGAAGATGGCTCCTAATTTTAGCATTGACAGATTTGTAATTAGAATAAAATCCGGGGTTTACAATGAGACTGTAGAGATCGCCAGAGAAAAGTCTAATATCATGCTTGTTGGAGAGGGGATGAAATCAACCATAATCACAGGGTCTAAGAGCTTTGCAGATGGATTTTCCACCTTTGCTACAGCCACTTTAAGTATGTCACATTTTTTCGGTTCCGAAAATTATTAGTTGGTTTTGATCCAAGAGTGTTCTTGCCATTTTTTTTATTTGTATGTGGAATTTGATGAGAAAGTTAAGGCCTTTTTGTGTTTTTGGATATCTGCAGCTGTAATTGAGGACAAGTTCTTAGCTAGGGTTTTTAAGAATGCCACATTTTTTCAGTTCCGAAAATTAGTAATTAATTTAGTCTAGACGTGTTCTTGGCAATTTTTTGAGATGTGTCTGAAATTTGATGGAAGAAAGCTAAACCCTTTTCGTGTTTTCAATGTTTGCAGTCGTTAGGGACAAGTTCATAGCTAGGGTTTAAGTATGTCTTATTTTCGTGGCTCCGAAAATCATTTGAACTGTTGTGTTCTTGGCATTTTTGAGATGTGTATCTGAGATTTGATGAAGGAAAGTTAAACCCTTTTCGTGTTTTCGGTCTTTGCAGCTGTAATCGGGGACAAGTTCCTAGCTAGGGACCTGACGATAACCAACACAGCAGGCTCAGAAAAGTTCCAGGCAGTTGCTGCAAGAGTGACCTCAAACTCTGCGTTCTACCGCTGCAACTTCAGTTCATACCAAGACACCCTCTACGTCCACTCACTCCGCCAATTCTACCGCAACTGCATCATCGAAGGCACGATTGATTTCATTTTCGGTAATGCAGCTGCAGTCTTCCAACGCTGCAGGGTGATTGTCCGAAAACCAATCCCCGGACAGACCGTTATGATCACTGCACAAGGCAGAACAGACCCGAATCAGAACACCGGCATTTCACTGCAGAAATGCACCATTGTGGCTGCGCCGGAATTCAACAAGACCGAGAGGCAAACTTTCAGAGCATTTTTGGGAAGGCCATGGAGGAACTACTCAAGGACTGTTGTGATGAGGAGCTACTTGGGGGACTTCATACACCCACAGGGGTGGTCAAAGTGGGATGAATTTACCACAGTGGACACGGTGGAGTACATTGAGTACTTCAACTTTGGACCTGGATCGGACACCAAGCAGAGGGTAAATTGGGGAGGGTATAAAAGGAATTGCAGTGAGGAGATTGTGAGGCAGTTTACGGTTGGCTTGTTTTTGCATGGTGAAAGTGATTGGATTCAGACCACTGGGATTCCACTCTCCTATGGTTCATAACAATTTGAATCAATTTCTGTAATTACATAGAATCATTCTGTAAATACAAAATTTCATTTGTGGTATGTAACTGGTTAGGAAAATTAACGGTTAGATCTTACGTATAAGGATCGAACGGAGCTTTACAAAAAAATGACAGGTTGTCGATTTTATTTCTTGTTTACGTACATAGAGTCGGAATAAGAATGAATTTACATACTCGGAATTCCAAATGTAATGTACAGTAAAAACATAGTTACAAAATTTGCCTGCAGCTTGTATGAAACCGTAAATATATACACCATGTCCATCGCCTTGGCGAGTTGTAGCATTGGCGACGAAAAGGTCACATGAAGCACTTGGAACGAGCAACATTTCCATTCTGAATCTCCCATGCTTGATTCCGGTGACCAGCGGCTGTTTCTGCTACAAGGCAGAAGTATCCGGGCAAACACTACCGGTAAGCAACAAGAAGACTGCGACAAGACCACCACTATTCACCACCGTGCTGTTTTTTAAATTCTTCAATTGTCCTTTCCACGTTCTCTTTACGAAGAGGCTGCGTAGGGTACAGAACTAGTGCTAAAACTAAGGTGAATGCAAAACCAATTAGCCCACTAAACGGTTGGAATGGCTGTGTCCCCATAATCCAAGGAAGAAAGTTAGCCCGGTAGGTTAGGAAGCCACCTCTCTGTATGATGAAACTTGAAGCGATAATTCCTGCACGTAAGCCGATTGGAATCGCAAGGCTGCCTTCGCTTCTTTGCCGAGCACCTGCTAAACTCAAAGATAGAAGCCATAGTCCTGGTACTGATAGCGGAGACCTGAAATTCCATTGAAATATAAAGAATTGTTAGATTTGTCTTGCACGTCGTCAGCAGAAAGCATTATATAGAAGATTCCGGTATTGCATTGCACGTATCTTGTGCATGGCACAACAATAGCAGAAACTGAGGCCACCTAAAAAGCTAAAAGGTATAGCAAATATCGATTCCAGTAACCGTACAGAAGACAAAAAGAAAGCACTGGTTCTAGGTGGCGATGAGAAAAATAAAATGAATAGAAAGCAACCTCTGGGATAAAGCGAACACAAGTCCTGATATAATTATTCCTCGATGATATCCAAGATCTGCAGCAATTTCTTGGGGCAGCCATGCCCTGAAAAGCAATTCTTCCACAAGAGCAATACCAGTAGCTACTACAACTCCTTGACCAACCGTCATAAGCCCTTGCATATACACTTTGAGCCGTGCCACAGCATCCAAAGAAGACGGAGTAGAAGGCCAGGCAAGATTCACACAGCCAAGTAGTGCGCTTACAGAGTGTATTGACAAAACAAGGACAACTCCACCAATCAAGCCCTTCAAAAAATTACCTAACTGCAAGCAAGGAGATGAAAAATCATACAACTGCAAGTAAATAACACTATCTTATTTTGCATGATCTTAGAGTACACGTCCACAATTTCAGCTAACACATACCTTTGCAAATGACGTTAAATCTAGCCCATATCTGTGAAGAGGATTTTCATATCCACGTATTCTTTTACCCCATATCACAACAAGTATCATAAAAGCAGTGTAGAGGCCAACAATGCAAGCAAGTTCAGCAAATCTAGAGGATGTATTGGTTGCCCAGCTTTGCAAAAATGATGGAAGTAGTGGAACGATGATTGGCGACCACAAAACAAGAACCATACCGACAAACCCAAAAATTCTACAGAAGCAAATCAGGATGAAAGAACATATCAGGAACTAAAATAATCAAGAACAAATTTTGGAAGTGTTATTGGCACTTCAAAAATCTCATTCTACACTCCTCACAAGTGTATTTTTCTTTCCAAATATAGAAAGTTCAGAGTGTAGAATGAGATTTTTGTAGTGCTAATAACAATTCCCACAAATTTTTGTAAATAAATAAAAAAGATCACCATGCAAACGAAAGGAACCTAACAAACTAAGGGAAATCAGATCACTGATTTCACGAATGCATGATGGAACGTACATATAAAAGTTCGTTCCACTTTGAAACTCTCTTAATAGTCGTAAACTATATGGATTGGCATGCAAGATTAACATCTTGAACATAGAAATTTGTACTCTGAATAATTTTGAGATAAAGATTCTCTTTCTTTTCTAAAGCAGTAATTAGACTTAACCTACACAATACCTCTGGATTAAGGGACGCTCAGCTATATGAAGAAACTGGATAAGCTTATCAGTCAAACTCATCGCACCACGTAGACCACCCCAAAGCAAAGCAGCTTTTCCAACTAACCTCAACATGCCACCCCTTTGTCCCAAATCTGCCAACATTGCGACCAATCTATTTGCAAAGGGGTTACAAAATTAGTAAAAGAAAGAAGTGGTACATCTCTATATATTGGAAAGACATGTATTGTGCTAATACCTTTCTTGATCCACTTCACCACCTTCCTTGGTGGGTACCACGGGAGCAGCAACTGACATGGCTTTCTCAGCGAGACTTGTAACAATGTTACTTTGGTTTTTCTCAGCCTCTTCAAACTTGTCAGGCTCCTTCTGACCTTTACCTTTCACCAACGACTTGGACAAACTCTCACCAGAAGTTTCATCACCTTTGTACGAATCCTGTGTGTTTGAATATAAGCATAATAAGTAGCAATATAAAAAAAATAAAAAGATAAAGTCAGCTGATTTTTGTCATCACAAAGAACAAAATCAAATAAACACAAAAATAGAGGATAAGGCAATGGGATCTGACATAATAGTGACATGGACATCATCTTAGGCAGCTCTTGTATTGAGAAGAATAACAAAACACCAAAAAGAAGGTAAATACAAAGTAACTGATTTTGAACCAGATCATGTTAAACAGTGGAAATAATGATAATACAGCTGCCTCAATAGAAACAGGAAGTTTTCTATAAGTTAATCTCAAAGAAGACACTATGCTGTCTGGTAACTACCAAGTTGGACAGTAGTTCAAGAAATACAAATCCCTAAATACAATTTTGCATGGCATCTACTTGTATAGCTACCATTTTAAGAAAACTAAAAATGTCTGAATAAAGGAACTTATTACCTGGTGCCCCACGAATAACACAGATGCCCCTAGGGCAGCTGTAACAGCACCAACCACAACACTGTTGTTGATATTCTTCAACCCGGTCTTTTCCTCTTCCCTGTTAACTGAACTGTCCAAGCTAGCATTTTGATCAGATTTATCAACAGGCATGTGGTGAATCTCTGTGCCACTAGCCTTGCCCAGATCTTTTTTTCCAGATACTTTTGCTCGACCAAGCGTCAAGGCTTCTATTTGACCATAATTATGGATCGTAACCACATCAAAATATTTTCTCAGTGCCGCTAGGCTTGAGCCTACTATAACACCAACTGGCAGCACTCTTCTCAAGTGACTAGTGCCCTGAACAGCAGATGATATGGCTCTTATTATATGCTCACCATGGAGAGTACCAACTTTTTCCGAAGTGCAGTCAATAATACTATGGTATTCAACTTCCAAACATGGAGCATACTTGTCATGTCCAACATCAAATGAAACTGCATTAGCCACTTTTTCCATATCTTTGTAAAGATAGGGTTCCATCCTTTTCATGTCATCCGCACTTATTCTGCGACCCACTTCAAGCTTCAAAGTATGCAACACAATATTTTTCACAAATTGCATAAACTCCTCTATTTTCTCTTTACCAATTTCAACTCTCCCCTCAATATTTTCCACTGTTTCATATTCTTTCACTGGTTCCTGATATCCTTTAACTGGTTCCTGATGCTTTTCTGTATCTAATATTACATATGATGTTTCGATAACTTTACCATTTACCTTTGCAGGTGAATGGGTGTGAATCTTTCTGTCAACACCCCTATGAGTTGCAGCGTTACCAACAGAACTTTCAACTTGTCCCGGTTGTTCTAAGAGCTTCCACTGACCTTCTTCTGGAAAATAGTCCAACAACAGAGCAGCGGTTGAATCTAAATCAAGTGATTCGTCAGGTACATTTGAAACGAGAGTATTCACCCCATATGGAATTGAAGTTACGGAAAGCGGTGGCTTCTTTACATGATTAAGAAGATTTGTACCAACTAGTTGATCCTTCTTTTCATTTTTATCATCACCTACACTGTTAACTGCATCACTTCCCTGAGAACTGTTCAAACCAATCCCATAAGCTGATGAGGGGCTTTGATTAGACTTCTCTACCCATCCATTTGGTGCATCAGGTTGCAAATCCGCACCATTCTCAGGGTGATCAGATACACGGACATTGCTTAACATATCCATCTGTACATTTTTGTCAGTCTTACTTGCTTCTGAATCTTCTTGACTATTGATATCACAGACATGGTCCTTTGCAGATTCAGACTCTGATACAGAATCAACTTCTTTTACTACACTTTCATGTGAACTCTCCTCCATTTGAGTTATTATATTTTCTATAACACCAAAAACATTGTTGACTGCCATTTGGGTGTTATCGTCCATCCCTGTCAATGCATTGAATGCCTCAGAAACGCTGAAGTTCTTACTTTGGTCCACCATGGGCTGCACATTCTTATTATCCCTCTTTTGATTATCATTGTCTTCCTCTTTCTTTGTGTCTAACGGAGTGATTCTACCATCTTGGTCTTTCTGCTCCTCAACAATTGCTTCCTCAGTACCACCAACGATTTCAGCCTGGCTGGAATTGTTAGGGGTCGTTTCTAGTTTTGAACCCTTTTCACTATTGGAAAGATCTTCAGGAGCCTTGTCCTTGGAAGACTTATCATTTCCTGATTGGCTAGTGTCCTTTCCGACAGAATCAGAAATATCACTTTCCTGACTGCTCAACGATTGAGACTGGTCTAGATTTACAAACTTTTCACTATTGGAAAGATCTTCAGGAGCCTTTTCTTTGGAAGAATCATTTCCTGATTCGCTGGTGTCCTTTCCAACAGAACCAGAAATATCACTTTCCTGACTGCTTAACGATTGAGACTGGTCCAGATTTGAAATCGTTTCTGATCCCTCTGAGGGAGGATCCTCTGATTCTAAACCCCCTGGACGCTTGTTTGCATCAGGTAGTTTGTTAGTTGACCTGTCCACCAGATCATCCTTTTTCAACAGATCCGATGAACGATTATCTTTCTGTACCCCTTCTGAACTTGATTTTCCCATGACCTTGTCCTTAATCTTTGACTTTAGACCTGAAGACATGTCAGGAATCCGAGCAATACCCAAAAGTTGATCAAACTTTAGGTTTGTGCCTTGAGTATGCAGAGCTCCAGAAACAGCAGATGCTAGCTTTCCACGAAGATCTTCCGGCACTGCATCTTGCAAAGCTTTCATCAGCGTGTCTCCTTGATCAACTGCTGCTAAGACCTGGGCCCATATACCACATAAATGTGAGATAAATACATACTGGGTACACAATTTGATTCTGATAGACCAGAACCATACATAGAGAAGACCAGAGACCCAAATTAACATATGAAATTAACATCAACACAACCACAAAAGTAAACAGTAGCATAAAACTGCAATTTCGAGCACCACCTTCTTCTTCTTTTCTTCTGTAAGAGTATCAGGCATGGTTACATCTAGCATTTTCATCACAACTTCTGCTGTCTGTAACACTTGACCTTTTTCACCTACAGGACTGACTTCCTCCTCATTGACCAATTCTTGATCATCAGATTTAGTCTGATCCGGGGAACCATTTTCCACAAGCTGCAACCCTGTGTTTTGGACCTCTGACTTTCTCAAAGAGTCCGTTCTGGATCTTATCCAAAAGCTAGCAGCATTATCATTTTCTTCAGGCATACTGTTTGCGGGACCTGCGGTATATCCATTTAAGGAATCTGACTGGGCAAGATCCAACAGCTTGGCACCACTATTGTTGGACAGTCTACCTTCCACAAGAGATAATCCTTCTGAAGGGTCTATGGGTAGGTCTACATCAAGAGGGTGACGGCCCTTCAATAGTCCAAGCTCTACTGCTGTGAGCCACTGCACATACCACATGCATTCTTATCAGAATATCAGAATGCAAACTTAGATCCCATCAAAATCTTCAACATGAGGTGGTTTAATGATACACAAAAATTATTCAAGCTCAAAGAGAAATAAACTCATTAATTACCTCAATTGTTACGTGCTGGCACCAAGACACAGCAGATCTACCACCATCCATAACACTAGAAGGCAAGTAAGAACACAAAAGTAGGCTTGTGAATGGATTTTCTGCTATCAAACTGCGTGGAACTGAGAAGAGTGGTGCTGAACCATCGTTTTTCTGATAAATTGACATAATATGAACATAAAATGAACAAGCTTGTCAATTATGAAGAAGATTGCATTGAGTTGACAACTATGTAGGTACCTGTATAAATAGGACGGGGATCTTTACATTCCCAATCACACCTCGTGTACTTGATTTGGAATAAAAATCCTCAATGGCCTCATAACCATAAGATACAATGGAGATTGCATTGTCGAAATCACGAACAGATTTTGCTGAAAGAGCTTGTTCCACATCAAACCCTTTTGATTTTCCTTGAAACAGTTCCTACAAAACCAGGCATGCATATAGCATAATGTCTAGCAGTAAGGGGTAGGTTACATTAACTAAATGGTTGAACATAATTGGAAACCACATTAAGAATTTTAAGTAACAAGTTGTTTCGTAATAGATGGAATGCACTTGCACTATACTAGAAGTTTCAAGCCGGTCGTCCACCTTGTTAGATCTCAAAATATCTATGAGGCCATCGGTGAGACTCTGGTCAATAGCCATCTGATGAGGAGAGGACCTAGTGGCCTCCTCTAAGTCAAAAGGATTGTCAATGCAGGTGGCAGCTGTAAGTGGTGTGCTCTCCCCAGCTTCTGCCAGGTACTTCGTCAACATGTTAGCACCATAACCCCAGCCAACACCCATCAACGTGGTCCACGGCCTAGCCTTAGTAATGAACTGTATAGCAGTGGAGATATCATCGCTGTCAGCAGCTGAAAATAACCTACATAACATGAAGTAACTTAAGTAGCCCTACAAGGGATGGAGCTAGAAATTTCTTCTAATGGGGGAAACCCAAAAAATAACTAACAAAACCTTATTATGGTATCGCTTATACCTAATATGATAATGGGGATGATTTCAAACGCTGATATATCACAATTTCAATGTTACGAAAAATTCAGTGTAGTAATGAAAAGTAGCAAAGTGAAGAGAAAGGGGTTTTACTGTTTAAATGATGGAACTTTTGCTCATATAATATTTGATATTGGGGGTATGCTTGATATTAGATGCATATACTTTCTTCAAATGTAACAAGTGTAATATATAACTGCAGTCTACAGCTTAACAATGAAATGCTTGAGTGCGGGCATCTACCCCCAGTGGGTCTTCACATCCATGAGCCCTACGTTACCGTTTGGTACGCAGACGGGACGGAACGGGACAGGACAGAAGAGGACGGGACGGGACGGGACGGGACAGGACGGAACAGATGATGTAAATATTGAAAAAGATAAGGAGAAATTTTGTCATAAAATGTTATAAATTTGTGTTCCACGGATGTGGAACGGGTCGTTCCAGGGGGAAGAGGTGGAACGAAAAATCAGCCAAATTTCGTCTCATGGGACAACCGTTCCACAGTTTTTAGGCGCACCAAACCCGGGACGGAATCCGTCCCATGTACCAAACGGTACCGATCACCACTTTGTGATTCTCCCAAAAACCACAAACAGGAAAGAAAAAAAAAATCCACAACAAATCAAGAGCATTTTGTTAACTGTATATAACAAAGGCAATACTAAATCCAAGATACCGAATTTCCAACCATAACCCGTTGTTCAAGTTTTGAACTTTTTGATACAAGTGATATTCTACTTTGAACTAAGCTAAATTATGAGGAGGATTGAACTAAGGCAATACTCAATCGAAGATATCAAATTTCCAAAAATAACCCAATATTCCAAGTTTTGAACTTCAATCTGAATTGATTGAGAAAGTTAACATACCGCGGCGTGGTGAGCGGCGAACCGGCGCAGCCCCTCGGGTTCATAACAATCGGAAAGCAGCCTCGCCTGAGAGCTTCACACACGAACGACCTGACACTCCAATCCAAGCTTCCCATTGCCGAGCCCGGCACGAGAACCAAGGTGGTGTCCAAGCCATGCTCTTTTCTCAAATCCAAATTCGCCGGCCAATCCAAAGATATCACTCCTCCGTCGTCCGTACTTATACAGAGTCTCTGATACTCCAATTTCTCCTCCAAAAAACTCCCCGCTTCGCTACCCGAATCAAAACGAATTCTGCCGCTGCTCAACCGCACGAAGTGCCTGTCCTCCTTCACCAGCCGCTCGTTCACGTCTTCTAGCAATTCGCTGCCTTGAAACGACACCGACGGACACCGTAGCAGCACGAACCGGTTAAACAGCGTCGGACTGGTGAACAGCACCCACTCCCCGATATCCGAGTCGAATTTCCACTCGACGGGTTTCGAACCCGGACTGGAATTCGAATTGTTGGCGAGGAAGAGGGCGGCGCCGGAGACGATCCCGAGAACCGGAGCGATGAATTCCAGAGAACTGGGGGACGGGAATTGGGAAATGAATTCGTGGAATGGGATTCCGCCTCCGAGTTGGCTTCGCGGGGCGAGTTTGAGTCTGCGGCGGCGGAAGACGCGGAACTCGCGGATCTGGAAAGCGTGCCTGGGCGAGAAACGGGGAGTGAAGCCGGAATAGTGGGGGAGATTCAAGCTCAGACTGCTCATCGTTTTTGGGTCTTCGAAAAAACAAGAACCGGAAATCGGGTTTTTTGAAAACTCTGAGTTGGGTTTTTTATTTTTCTGGTGGGGAAGAAGAAGTGATAGAGAATCAGAGATGAGAGAGAGAGTTCTAGAGAGAGAAAGATGTGGAAAGCTGTGATGGAGAGTGACGTGGGCGGTGGAGAAGAAGACGCTGGATGGAAACGGAAAGTAAGTTGGAGGGATCCGAGCCTGACCGGTCAGAAGAAGAGGCGGGAGCGTTTTTTACCCGCGAATGGATCCCAAGAAAGGAGCTTCAACGGTCCGTATTTCTGATTAATTTTTTAAGCGGAAATCACATTCACTAAAAGGCACACAGTTACGAGAGCAACCAGCATAGAAAGTTCCACGGTCCATATATTATTGTCCATACATTTATGATTTTAGCGGCGGGAAGGCCGTGCCATGTGGCTCAAGTGTCCCTTCCCAAGAAAAGTGAGCCATGGGGGCTCCACGTGAAGAAGTTTTTAATTGTAACGGGAACACAAGTAGTATACCACATGTTTTAATAGAAATTGTGAGAAATTTTATTTTATAAGTTTTAACTTTTTAGCACATATATCTCATCATTCGTATAATGACATATGGTGTCGGTCACACTAAAAAATCTCAAGAGTTAAAGAGTTGGTGCACAATTAAAGCGACGTTTTAATTTTATAATATAACGCTACGTGAAATGAAATAAAATTTAATATGTAATAGGAAATTGATATTTGTATTTTAAATTTTCATTTAGTATTCTAAATTTTTTATAATTAATAAAAAAATTATATTTATGAAGAGTGTAGAATAATATTTTTAAAATACATGAGTGTACTGTTAGAAAGTTGTATGTGACCTGTGTGTCATGGACTTTTAGATCTAGCATGCGTGCAGAAATATAACTGTGTGATCATTGTACATGTAAAGTCCTTATTCCCAACATGTTAAAGGTTGTTACATATGCAAATCAAAATCAGAATAAAAAATAATTGTTATTAACACTTCAAAACAGTCTTTTATATTTCCCTTTTATCTATTTGTTCTTTTTTTTTCTAATGTATCTACAATAAGGGGAGGGAGGTCAGCTTAGCCTCATCATGGACTAGTAATAATTTGATTCAAATTCGCTTTTGGCGATAATCGAACCTAAGACCTTTTACTAACAAATGAAGAGGAATATCACTATATCGTAGTACTAAGTGGATATATTTGTTCTTTAATTATTAGTTAACGCACAATTTTATTTTTGGAGTGTCAATAACAATTCTTAGAAAGTAATTATACACATATGTCTAATCATGATATGCTCACAAAGACAAATCACTCTTTTCTTTTTAGGAAAACTAATGAAAATGGCTTGAAAACTTTGAGTTTTAACGATAAGGACAAAATAAAGGGTAAAGTGAATAGTACCAGATTTGACTTTTTAGTGTAAAAATGTGATTTTTCGTTAAAATGAACAGTACCACAGACTTTTCGTTAAAACTCTCTTTCTTTTTCTGGCTAGTTATGTAATTTTACTTCAATATTTCGTAAGTATTGAGCGATACGGATTTTTTTTTTCTCAAGTGGCCCAAGTACACTCTCCGATTTGAACGGGCCTTAATGCATCCAGCCCGCATTTTAGTCTCAAACGGACCTACCAAGAATCCAAGCCTCTTGTTAGTCTTGGAATATTCCACTTTCTTCAATGGATACTTCTTCACGATGAAACCCATTAGGCAGGCCCACCCTCATTCTCTTGTAAAAACATCATGAACTTCAAATTCCAACAGCAGTGGGGAGGTTTAGGTTTGTTTACCATTATTTGCTCGTTACATGTAAGAAGTTATTCATTTAATTGTAAGTAACAATCTAAAATACTTACAAAAACACCATATTAAAACTGTAAAACAAAAAATGTTTTTCTTTACACATATGGCAAAGTCTAATTTGTCCGCAAGAAGCCAATTATTCTACTATTCTTTACCTTCAATAGAACCTTACCTCGAGAAATTTGAGTGGGATAAAGCCCAAGTTGGAGAAAAATAGTGTCGCAATTCAATTAACTAACATCTATGACATCATCTACAAAGCAGTGTTCTCTCTTCTTGAGTTCGAATCCTTTTTGTTATAGTTTAGATGAATTTGTTGTCGAATATTGCGTGTATATTGAAAAATAACATCTATTACATCATGTTATAGTGTTTTCCATTTTCTTTCAATTTTTTTTGCACAACATATTAGAGTATTTAACTTGGTGCATGATCAAACACAATGTCAGTAAATTTACCTAGTAAGTTTATTATCTTTTTCTCTGATTCTTAACGTCTATGATAACAGATAAATGTGAGCCTCATAAATTAGCAAGACAAAACTAACATAACCATGGTTGGGAACGAATTTCAGGCTCGTCTTTCACATGGCACGTCTTGGGTTCGATTCCTGGCGCTTGTGAATCATACAACGGTGACCAGGGAAAGGCTGAAATGCCTATGTGAGTCTTTCTAGCTCCCGGAAAGGTGGATTGTCGTGGTGAAGCTACCCACTAATCTCATTTGAAAAAAAAAAAAAGGAAAACTAATGAAAAGGCCTTGAAAACTTTAAGTTTTAACGATAAGGACAAAACAAAGGGTAAAGTGAATAGTACCAGTATTGATTTTTCGTTAAAGTGAATAGTACTTGGAGCTTTACGTTAAGGTTCCCAAAAAAAAAAAGATAATTGCATTAATGTATAAATGAGGTCGACCAGATTTTCTTAAGCACATGATTTGGAACCTATATTATTTACCCATTGCTACAGAAATAGAGAGACATCATACTGTGGTCTTGTACTTATTTATCTTAAAACCAATCAAGATCTTTTAATATTTTGTTCCAATTTATTTTATCCAATCAGTAGGAATCAATTCGAAAAGTTTCTTGTCCATACTAATTTTTTTAATTTTTCTTAATAAAAAGAGCAAATAATTATATGGTTCACAAAATGTGATTAAAGATTTTGTTCATCACATGCTCTTTGTCACATACCCGCCTGCAAAATATGAGATTGTGTCTCTAACAGAGAATCAGATTGCATATCTCTATTATTTACACCATTTTCTGCTCTTTGATTTTTGACCAAACTTATTTAACATTACAGTTTAGTTGTATTTTTTTATTTGTAAGTAAGAAATTTTAATTTGTCTTCCTTTTAATCATACAAATTTAATATTATATTTGTTCTGAATAACTCATTGTGTGAGTTAGCGGGCCTCACTTCACCTGCCTAGTATAAATATAATGTTGTATAGAAACAACTGACTATAAACTGATGTATGAATATGTAGGAGGACATGAAGAATCTTAAACATCTTTTCTCCCGATGGCTCTCAACCACGTATCACGTTTTTGTTTTATTTAATCCATTGATCTTTTGATCCCTTATAGAGAGGGTCGTCTTATTAGTGCTTAAGTAGACGTGTTGTTTTATCGGCAGAGCTAATGAATGAATAAGAAATTGAACTAACAAGTCAGATAATATATACTACGCATCAGTCACAATTAGTTGATGTTATCAACAGTTACTTACTAACTAAATCATTGGATATAACATGACAAGATTATGTAAAGTAAATAAGATACTCGAAATAAAAAAAAGAAAGTGTTGACAGTAAAAATGTAAAGCCTACGTTGCGTGCAAGTCGAGCAACTATTGAGCTAACTACGTCGTTTTTGTAAATTTGGGCATGCCAACTTGCGAACGAGCTTGGTTGGCCGAGTAAAATAGACGAAGTAGTGGTAGGGATGGGCACTTGAAACCGAAAACTGAAATCGAAACACAAACCAAATCAGACCACACCGAACGGTTCGGTTTTGCGGTTTTGAAACCGAACCGCATTGTAGGAAACGGTTTGGTTTTTGTTTTGGCTTTTGAAAACCGCACAGAAACTGAAACCGCACCTCAAATTAGATGTCATGTTTTAATTAGTTGTTTGTTATAGTCCATACATTTAGTATGTACATGTCATAATAATGATTCTTTTTTCCAATTTATATCCCTCATCAAGCTTGACATCTCAATGTTTCTTTACAGAAAAGATGACAATTTTATTACCAGTAAAAGCACCTCATAACCCTAATTTTCAAGTTCTGAATGACAACCTATATAATAGACTAATGAGAAATGCAAATGAAAACTCATAAAGAAACAATGAGCATCAAATAAGAGTAGTCACAGAAGGAGAGATACAAAGACCGAATCTCTAATCAAGTAATAAGCCGGAGCACTCCATTTGGGTACTTTCCTGCTCACAAAGTCTATCATCTGTGTAATTAGCTAGCTAGAGTAAAGAAAAGAATTCTCATGTGGGTTGGTTAATTAATGTATTGTGTGGAAAATGAGATCGTGTTATGTGCAGATAAGTATAAATTTTAAATTGTATATTTTTTCTCAAAAACCAAACCAAAACAATTTGGTTTCATTTCGATTTTGGCTTCAAAACCACACCGAACTGCAGGGCAAAAAGTTACGGTTTTGATTGCGGTTTCATTCAAAACCGCACTGAATCAAATCGTGCCACCCCTAAGTAGTGGTGGTATTGAATGCATTGCTAATAGCTTCTGCACCTGAGCAACTACGGTTGAAAAGGAACACCTCTCAGCCTAGGGTTCTAGAACTTGAAGACAATCTTGCTTAATCCACTGCGAAGTTCAAAATCTTCTGTACTGGGTTCGGCAACTTCAACTATATTCGTGAGAATATAAGTGCCGAATCTCTGTCAAGATATACGGGCAAAGGTACTCAAAGTAGATGTTTGTCTTTATGATGAACGTGGCTCAGTCCTCTGAATGCTGAACTGTGAAGTACAAATCAGAGTAACCGATCATAAAACACCTCACTTCTCGGGGCTAATGAAGTGACTTCTTTAGGAGAAAGAATTAAGAATTCTTGGTCGGCCGAGATTTGGATTGATAACCAACCAACCAGAAGCAGTGGTGTTTACTTGTCCAAACTGAAGATGCTTCTAAATCGCCTGGGTCTATGGTTCCAGTGTTGTTTATTTATTCAAACTGAAGATGTCGCAAATTGTCAACATAGTGTATGTATAGACGAGAGGGTTAGGATCCTTCGTATTTTTTTCTTCAGGGTTGTGAGAAGGGTTTTCGCGTAGAGTGAAAGTTTTCTACATTGCAAAACCTCTTGTATGTATACAATAATTCTGTAATGGCCAAGTATACCAAATAGTATAATTCTAATAATATTTCAATTCTATGGCATAATATACTGGACTTATTCTCAGCCGAAACTCTATCGCAACCAAATCTCGCTGTCTTATTTTGCTGGACTTATTCTCAGCCGAAACTTTATCGCAACCAAATCTCGCTGTCTTTAATTAGGACTCTGAACATAAATTGATTCAACCTTTATCCAAAAAACAATCATAATCCTTAATATATGGGTCGAGTACGTGCTAAATTGGAACGAAACAGAAAGTAAATAATTAAGATACTAACACAACTAATTTTTTTAAACTAGTTATTAGTGTAATGCATGGTCCTTCTTTTCTTAGACTTCTAAATTCAATTTTCTCGCATGAAAATGACATAACACAACAAAATTTGTTTAAACTGATTTGTGGAGAACATGACAATTGACATGATAAAAACATTTTGAATTATCTAGTATTAAACAATCAAAATGCAATTAGTTAAATATCAGCTGGTTAGGATCAACCATTATTTTACACACAATATTCGAAATAATTTGACAAGAAAATGAGTCCATTACCACTCTAGTTATACAACTTATACATAGTTGCACAAATCCACGTGGGGGAGGTATGGGTGTGACAAATGTTAATAGTATGTAGACATGGCTCAAATATTCTAGGACATGCTTAGTCCATGTGTTGTTCACATGTTTTTGCTCACCAGCGGCCGTCATGTATCTTTATCAAGATTTGTCATAAAATGCCAAACTAACCACCAATTATGATGTTAATAGTGCCCAATTATTTCTAAGTAGTTACAATATTTTCATCTGTTTCATTTAGACACTTAATTCTTAGACTCATTTTTTTAGAGGATATGAATATAACTTGCTACGTACCATTGGACTAGTAATAGTTGTCTTTATTTAGCCAGAGAAGCTCTCAAATCTGACTCATTAATCTGATTAAATTATTTTTTTTGTGATTTTTTGATATCTAATTGTAACTAGCTTAGTTTTCGCCATACAACTTAATTTGTTGTGATTGCATATAGTCATATAGTCATTGTATATCTAGGTCTAAAACAGAGGCTATGAAAATTGGTAATATGTTTTGCAGTTTTACACTTACGCCATACCACAAACAAAATGCTCTTAAACCACAATATTAATAGAGTTTTAAGTTCGAATCTCACTCCTTCAACAATTAGGGAAAAAAAAGTGTATCATATTTTACCTACATTTACGGTGATTTATTCTAGAATCCATCTAAGGACATTGCCAAAGCACATTCCATCGTTGAAACACACCAATTGCCTTAGCAATTGAAGTTATAATATTCTGGAAGATGGAGGCAACGATAATCTTCTTAATTCTCAATTATTTTTAAATTTAATTCACCTTCTCAAATCGTTTACCAAAAAAAAAAAAACAATGAACAAGTTCAGACAAGCTAATGAATTATGGATGATTGATTTGACGACGACGTTCTTGAAAACACCATTTGCACATGTCTGTCTCTTTCAGTGACAATACTTTTGTAATTTGAAATTGAAATGAAAAATATTAGAATGAAATCAGTTTTTTTTTTTTTTTAAAGGAGTGAATATATTTCATTCTCATCGTGGAAACCAACAACTTTCTAGTAAGCATCAGACAGCAACCAAACTTTGAAGGAATAATGTGCGGAAATCCGCATGCTGATTTCCTCTTACTCAACAATTTTATATGTTTATATAGTAAGACTATAAATTTAATTGGTCATATATGTATAAGAGCCAGGATTCTCTAGTGTGTATGGTTAACGTCACATTTTAAAGGGTTTTTTTGTTTTTTTTAATTTTTTTAATGGTCTTTGAAATTCAAATAACTCTTCACTTTCGCCTTTGAAATTTAGAATCGATACAAGTGGTCTCTGAGATTGTTCATCATCAATCATTTTAGTCATTCCGTAAGAAATCTCCGTTAAATAGAGAGTATTTTTGTCAAATCAATATTTCTCCTTGAATTGGTGGTTTCTTTAATTTAACAAAGATTTTTCATATAATGCACCCTATCACTTCTATCAATTTTAAAGTAAATATGCATAATTGAGAAAAATGAAGCACCCTATCACATCTATGATATCAAATTTTGAATCAATTCAATCTAAATACGTAAGAGTAAATACTCTTAATCACTTAAACTATACAACCGACTACATATACATATACCAAACTGATTATTTGCGCCGCAAAGTACATCTTTTTTTTTTTTAATTCCTAGGTAGAAAATATTCACAGCACACATAATAATCCCTGTAAATTTCCTCATGCAATTAGCCCCATTAATCTATGATATTACAATTACACCCCTTTCCCTTACCTAAGTTCCGTTTAAATATGAACCTTCCTTCCCCTTTCCAAATCCCCCAAAAGCAACACAACGCTCCTCAACTCTCAAACAAATCTCTCTCTCTCTCTCTCTCTCTCTCTCTCTCTCTCTCTCTCTCTCTCTCTCTCTCTGAAAACCATTCATATCAATGGCCAAAGGTGGGAAGCTAACAAAGCTCAAGTCAGTGCTGAAGAAGTGGAACTCCTTCAGCAAGCAGAACAGCCGCCGCAGCCTCAACTCCGTGGTCTCCGCCGCGGATGAAGATTACTCCACCGACGTAATAATTTCAGGAGACCTCCGCCCCGTCTATGTGGGCAAGTCCAGAAGACGTTACCTTGTGGCCTCCGACGTCGTAGACCACCCGCTTTTCAAGGAGCTGGCCGACAGGTCAGACGACGACACGATCAACGTCGCATGCGAGGTGGTGCTGTTCGAGCACTTGTTGTGGATGATCGAGAATGCCGATCCACAGCCCGAGTCAATGGACGAGTTAGTCGAGTTCTATGCCTGCTGAGGGAAAGATTTAGAAGTTATGCCATGTATGTATGTGCATGGTGTGACTACCTTACTGAGGAAAATAATGAGAGAGTGGTGGGGGTGATTATCTGTGGTCATCCGCACTGGGTAGAGAAAGTTGTACATTGTTAATAGATCATCGGCGTCTGAGGGGAAAAAGATTTGATTGTGTGATTTGATTGCACGGTTGAGGATAATTAACCCAATATTTCACATCCGGGCTGGTGGGAAATTTCGTCAGTTCTGTAATTCTTCTTTGTTCATTCTAAATATAATAAATATAACTTTTATGTTTATTTCTCATGGATTATCTTTTCATAAGTACATTTTTATTCAATTCTTAAATGGTATATTATCTTGATCGATATGGTCTATTTTTCAACTCCCTGCGTCCCGGATTCTAACCTTCACATTTTTCATAGTGTGAATTAGAGTAGCTGTTAATTACCCATTTTAAAGGACTATGATCTAGTTAGGTAACTAATTTAACTTGTGACATTTGGGAATATAATGCATGTTAATAAACCATGGAGTATTTTTTTTACTGACAAAGGTGTGTGCGATCTTTGTATTTTTATGTCACAAAATTGATGACCTATCAATTCTAATGCTGATGGGTCCTTCAAAGGAGTACTTTTGAAGACCATAAAAATGTGAGATTGACAATTGGTGAGGAACAGAAAAATATAATGGCTGCCATCATGTGTGTACTAATTAAAATGTATTTATTTATTTATTATTCTTCTTTGTTACCTTTTTTTTTTTTTAATTTTAACTTTTTGTGTTAGCTAGTGATACATGGGAAAATGCATGAAAAAGAGTGGATCAAGGATGATGAAGGGAGAAATGTACAAGAAAAAAATCATATGAAATAAAACCAACAAATGAGAAATATTAAGGAGTCTCTTTCAAAAGTGCAATTATATATGGACTCTCTATCATCTCATGTTTTTTGTATAATGTTTTATAATGTTGGCATGTCAATTGACATTAAAGTGTGAGGTGACAAATATTCTATAAAAAGTCTCAATTTAAGAGTCTAGTTAGTACTTCTCAACAATTCTCCTCAATTCCATCATCCTTCTTCATTTCTCATTTCCTGGATATCTATGCTTTCCTCATATATAAGTACAAACTAAAAAAATAACGAAATAATTATCAACCGTCCTTAAATGTTGATTTGTTTTAGAAAGCCATATTAATTACTTGATGAGATAATTAAGTTCCCGCTGATATATAACCTAGACAACAAATCCTTGAATAAGACAACAAAACCTTGTAACCTTTATTAATTAATTCAGTGGCATCATATATTATAATATGTCATTATTATGTTATTACCAGAATAAAAAAAGTTTATTAAAAGCTAGCTTGGAGGCCTAGCTAGTTATGTCCTTTTCTCTCCAACCATCCTAACCTTACACTAATCTTTCTGTATTAAGACAAATGATATTACAATTTTGTGTATACAGCCGGCACCGTACTCTTTCAAAAAAGGGTGTAAAACTTTTTCAATTTTTTTTTCTTTAATACAGGTTGGAGATTTATAACCTATTGTTTCTGATGGTATTTTACTTCAGTAGTTTATGTGGAATTTTAACTTTTTACATAGTATCGCGCGTGTGAAACTCAACGGCCATGTCACCCAGTTTGTGTTGTTCAAGTGTTCGGCATGAAAATTTGTCACATATGAGGGGACGTGTTGAGAATGAATCACACATCAATCAGAGGAAAGATCTTTCATGACCTTACAAGTAAATTTGATTACTTCTCATATCAATAATTGATTTTATTGTGGAATCTTAACTTTTTTCGAGAATAACATTGAAATAGCCAGAAGAAAAAAGAAAAAAAGAGAACTTAAATAATAGGCATGTAAAATTAAGTTGGTAGCTGCAAAGAAAATGTTATGTTATGAGACAACTGGGGAATTAGTCAACAACTTTACAGGTGGTACCTTTCGGCAAAAATTAATTAGTTAATTGATTGAATTAAGCTAAACTTTGTTATGATTATTAAATTTGATTCAAAATATTCTCACACACATAAAGTCAGAAATGCTTTTTTTATACATATAGTTTATTAATTCAGAAGCTAATGAATAGGTAGTTCGAGATGCCTTTGCGATCGATATAGATATAGAAATATGATAAATCCAACCACACGCTTAAATTTTTTGTTTGATTTGTAGGGTTTTAATTGGAGAAAAAAAATAATTAAATAAAATATATGCAAAGTGGAAGACACAAAACTTTGTCGGAATGCATGCATTAGTACCAGTAACGCGTCTTAGACTCTTAGCCAAGCTGTGATTGCCATTGCCAACCCGCAAAGCTCTTAAGTCTAAGCTTTGCAGCAGCTTCCACACTTTTCTGTCCAGAAGTTAACGCATGCATATATAAATGAAATATTAATCGTACGTACGTGGCGCCATTGAATAAGTTGGAAACAATGAGCAGAGTTTCCAAAACCTATATAGTACTTCTCTTGGTGAACGATGTTGCACTTTTCAATTGAATATAAAATAAAAATAAAAAACCTTGATAGTGGTGTAATCTTTAAAGTCTCGAAAATATTGACAAAGTTTTAAAGACTAGCTAGCTAGCATAATAAGATAAAACATAAAGTTAAACATATAAATAAGATAACACATAATTTAAAAAGGAAACTATTATTGGATTTCCAAATACTTATGTAGTGCTCATAAAAAAAAAAAGAGAAATTAGGTTCTCATTCTTTTTTTTGCTACTTTATTGATTAAAATCCTATTCCTTTTCAATTTTTGATCAAAATCCTTGGGTAATGGGTATTAATAACATCATTAATTATTTTAATAATAAATATTTTTTTATTTCTAAATATATTTTTTTAATGTTAAAATTGTGACAATTAGTATATTTATATTTATGACTAAAATTTTTATCATATATTTTTAGTTTTAGTTTGTACCCATTTTTAATTTTTAATTTGTAATTTTTTTTTTTAAATTTGTACCAATTTTCTTTTCAATTTTAATTTGTACCCATATATTAATTTCTTTTTGTGCCCATATTTTTTAAAGTTTATTTGTATTTGTACCCATATATTTTTTTTATTTGTACTTTTTATTTTGCTAAATGTACCCATGCTAATTATATGTACCCATTCATGTAAAACTTTTTAATCTTAAAATGTACTCATTTTTAATATACCAATTTGTTATATGTAAAATGTACCATTTTTTTATTATATAAAATCTATTCAATTTTTTTCTAATCCATTTTTAAACTTATATGGGTACATTCTTTTTTCTTTGATTTTAAAATGTATCCATGTCAAGTTTAATCGAAGAAATTTACTAATGTTATTAAGCCTAATATCTTCTTCTTTTTTTGTGATTTTGAAGATTGTACTCATGTTTTGATACAATAAATTTTTTGGTTAATTTTGATGAATGTACCCATGTTTATATATATATACACACACACAATAGTATATTTATATTTTAATATTTTTAATCCCACAAATTATGGTTTTTTATTTAAAATCTCATTTATATAAAAAACTAAAAACTAAAATTTCTAATTTTTTATTTAAAAAATATAGTAACGTACATAGAAATAAATTATCACATTAATTTCATGGACCTCGATCAAAAATTAAAAATCAACAAGGTTTTAATCAAAGAATATTTATAGTTAAGGACTGCATCCAAAGTCTCCCTAAAAAAAATTCTGAATATAGAAAATTTGGAGTGTGAGTAGCAATTTCTTTTCTAAATGATTGAATTAATGAGTTGCAATTTGAAGAGTAATGTCCCACCTTACCAAAAGAAAAAAGTTGGGGCATGAGTTGAGACTGATTCAAAGAGAAACTAAGAACAAAATTGGTAAAACGGAAACATCAAATCAAAACTCGTTAGCAACGAGTGGAGATAAGTTAGGTTAATTATAATATACGTTGTCAATCCAAAACTAACTAAAAATTGTAAATAGTGGATTCCAAAGTTGAAATCCACCCCCATTTCGAATTCAAAATCTATTGAAAGCTACATGCATTCAAACTTTTCTAATTATACACATTTGAAAGTTGTCATCAAATATCAGATAATGAATAATTTAACATAAATGTTCTAGCAAAACATATGGAGAGGCCGAAAGACAGATATACCCCTGAAGGATGGAATTAGCCTAAACTGTCAGGATCGAAGAGAACAAAAACAGTCAGAAAAAGACGGCATTTTACGCGGCTGTTGATGAGACAGAGAAAGGGTGCCCCCCGGATGCCATTCATCCTTGCATCGATTTTGGTATCATTTGGTGAATGGACAGACATGCATCTGTATGAGGGTATTTATGTCTTTCTGTCAGAAATCAACAAAGTTAGGCGCCAAAAACCAGCCCACGTGGGAGTACCGAGTATGTCGTCAAATCGGATTTGGCCTTTTTGAACGGACCCCCGTCACCACTCCATGTGATGCAAGGAATTTTTGTCTCTTGAAATCCTATGAAAATATTCATGCATGCATGCATGAGTGAAGAGAATGAAATCTTTAGGCAAAATCTACTTCATGTTGTAAAATTGACTGTGGGTGCAGTGGAATAAATGAAACAAGACACAAAATTTACGAGGTTCCTCTACAGTTAGTGTGACTGGAGTACGTCATCGGGGTAGCAGTGGTGCTTTCATTATAATTTGAAATAATAGGAGTACAAAGATAACTCTTTTTATTATCTCCCCTCATCTTCCTCATCTTCCTCTCTTCCTCTTCTTTCCTCTCTCTCTCTCTTCCTTTCTTCCTTTTCTCTTTTTCTCTTTCTTTCTTTTCTTTCCTCTTTCCCGTGAACTTCTAACTCTCTTGGTGTTGTGTGGCCTTTGTATATATATAGAAAATAGGAATCGTATGAAGCAAGTTTTGGTAGACAATGGAAGGGCCACTTGCCCATTATTTAATTCTCATGAGTGGACATCCACTGTTCTACAACACTCCCCCTTGGATGGCCACAAGTCTTCGATTGACTCGTTAAAATCTTGACCTGTCTTGGATGCTCCCCCTGATGAGTATCTCCCCCTGATTTCAAATCATTTAGGTTGATCGTTGATCGTTCTGCTTTAGTCTCTTAGTAAGAAGAGTTGCTGAAAGAGTTGCTTTACTTGTTGTTAACTTTCCACAGGCTTTTTCTTGAACTGGGTTGTAGGACTTTCTGCTAGACTAGCATCCAAAGGTCTGAATTTACTCCTTTTATCTGGAGCGGAATTTGATTCAAGAGTAGTGAACACTTGATCTTGAATCGGACTTGTGATTTCTTCAAGGACCTTCGAGG